CTCTTCTATAATCAGAGGCACAAGGATCATGTAAGTCCAGAGTTCCCAGAAGCCATCTTTAATGCAAACTGAATAGATTGTTTTCAAGGGTGAGGACTAAGAAGAGCCGAGCCAGAGAACCGTGAAGACGTCATTCAAGCACCTGTATTCAGACAGGTGAAACCAGTTTTCCACTAGATTTTGCAATTAGGTGAGTTGACGAGTGTCATTTTTTGCTCAAAGTGCTCTGAGTTGGATTACTGTCACTTGGACAAATGTACTTCCTTGTTTTCGTTACCCTAATCTAATTCCGCATAGTGAATTGCACAAAATCTCTAAATGCAAAGGCCCTATGTGCTTTTCTTCAGGAGGAACTTTAAAGACTTGGCGCTACTCTTCTGCTACTCTTGGGTGCAATAACCTCAAAAAACATAGTGGATGGCAGTAGCTCCATAGAAGACAATGTCATGTGGAGGCAAAGAAAGGAGGGTCTAAGAAAGAAGAGCTTGCCTAGGGCTTAGAAAAAAGCAAAGCTTTGTGGAGTTTTCTTATGAAACATCCAATTATTGAAAAACAAAAGCATATTCCAAGTTATTTAAAAATTAATTATAAAAATGTTTCTGACACAGACACACACACACACACACACACACACACACAAAGGATTGCATAACAATCACCTATGTACCCACTGTTCAGTTTGTGCAATAAGATGTTATGAATAGCATGATACCTCTTATATTGCCCTGTGGTCACATTCTCCTCCTTTCTCTATCCCCTCCCTTAGAGGAAATAATTATTCTAAAATTGTTCTAGATCATTCCCATGACATCTTGGTAGTTTATTACATATGTCCATATCACTATTTAGTACTCTTTTGCATCATTTTGAAGTGTGTATATATGGCATCTAATTATACATAACATTCTGCATATTATTTTTATATTCGACATTGCACACTTAATCCATATAAATATCACTCTATTTCATGCATTTTCACTGCTATATGGGATACAGTTAGTTGTACGAATATGTCAGTTATTAAGCTATTGTCTGAAACCCATGAAATAACTGTAAGATTAAAGAAGCCATTAACTGAGATCTGAAAGACTGCAGGAATGTTGAGAGAGAAAGGTCAAAAGTTCAGTTTTGTTTATGTTGATTTGATATACTTTTATATATCCAAGGGAAGATTTTAAGCTGATTGTTTTTGGACACAGGAGTATGGAGTTCAGGAGAAAGAGCTGAGCTTGAGATATAAATCTGTGAGCCACTAATATATAGATGGTATTTAAAGCCATGAAATAATTAAAATTACCTAGGGAGTGAATGTAAATAAAAAAGATTTCCAAGCATTGGGCTCCAGGATGTACCAATATTAAAAGGTCAGGAATGGTAAGAAGGAACCAGGAAAAAAAAAAAAAATAGAAAGCCCACAAGAAAATCTCAAAGTAAGTACAAAAACCAACAAGGAAGGATGATAACCAAAAGACTGTGGGGGAAGAACACATCAAGAATGAGGTAGCAGCAGCTGTATGATGTTGCCAACATGTCAAATAAGATGAGACTGAAAACTGACCAATAGATATAATAATGTAGACATTGCTGACTTTGACAAGGTGGTGAAATCACAGGGTCACAATCCTGACGGGAGGAAAAGAATTAAGACAGAGAGTATATACAACCGTGTAAAGGAGCTTTATTATAAAGCAGAGCAGAGAAATAAGGCAAGAACTGGAAGGGGATGTCAGATTGAGAGAGTCATGTTTTTTTTTTTTTTAAGATAGGAAATAGAATATTTGTATGCTGATGATTATAACCCAATAGACAAAGGAAAATTGATAATAAGGAGTAGGAGAGGATAATTTCTCGAGCAATGTCTTTGAAATCTAGTGTACAGGGACAGGGAAGGACTTGTAAGGGCATGAGCAGTCATTTATAGTGAGAGGAGGGGAGGCAGAGTTGATAGGTACAGATGCTAGCAGGTGGGTTGATGTTTGGTGGTACCTGTTGAAATGTCTAATGGACCAACAGGTCTGAATGGACCAACAGGCTTGAAGTTCCAGAGAGAAATTTGAGCTAAAGACAGAGACACAGTATTATTAGTTTATAGAAGATAATTGAAGGTGTGAAGTAGAAAAGGATCTGCCAAGGGAGAGAGACAGTCAAACAAGGAACAAAAACTTATTAACAATAATTCAGCTACCGACCATAAGTGCATTTAGAGTTCAGAGAAGAGAACAGCAACAAGGATTGGACAGAAGAGGAACTTGAGTTAGAGAGGGAAGATTTTGTGAGGAATCATTCCAGGATCAGAGCAGTAGTAAGCATATTAAAATACAATAAGAAGAGTAGTCTTGTCTAAGAACAGGAAAGATTAAATGGAACCAAGTGGAGGAGGGCTCTGATCAACTGATTTGATTTAATATACACATGAGAAGCATTTTAGTTGATAAAAACAATGTTTAAGGGAATTTAAATGGTTTGCACTATTGGTTGAGGGTTAGGGTGGAAATAGTGGGATCAGACACTGATGGAGAGCCTATAAGAATAATTCCTGGCCACAGAATCAGGACTCTGATAATGGGAATGAAGAAGATAGTGACTATTGGAAATAAAGAGTTGGGGAGGGCCAAGGAACTTTTAGAGATTTTATTCTAGTGGCCCTCCCTCCTTTAAAATTTGTAACTTACACATTTATAAGCAAGATTGTATTTCTTTTAATGCAAAACTTTAGACTTTGAACTTAATAATCTCATGATAATTTCAAACTGTCATTCAAGTTACATACAAATACATTGTTTAAATAACTAGCATCCATAATCTCTATTCTTTATACACATATGAGATAAAGGCATTACTAACCACATTGATAATAGAATACTTAATCCAAGTTTCTATTGATTTCAACATCATAAAATGTTGGTACATTTCCTGGAATTAGGGACTGGGAGAGTGAAGGGGAATTCCCATATATTTTCTTTTGATTCTATTCAGAAAGTCAGATGATCTAAGACGACAATTAGAGTTTCAACCTGGAATATAAAAAGCTTCCTCCTCATTGCAAAGCAATTGATCTGTCTTACAAGTTTTCATCTTGTCCTCAGATATTTTTTCTGAAATGAATTTGTGTAGGATGGGTATCATTTTAGGGCACAAGGACGCATGGAAACTCCCTGGGATACCTAGGAGAAGGAAGGAATATTTATTTAGTTAAGGGAAAAAGTTTATTGGAATCAAAAGGTTTTGAATTATTTAACCAAACCACACAAGCAAACAAAGACGTAAATCTTCCAAACTTACCAGTTTAATTCCCTACTTTGGGAAAGAATTACAAAGAATAAAGAGGGACAGCGGGAGAGAGAGAGAGAGAGAGAGAAACATGGAACGGGCTGGACTTTCAGGTGGCTAGTTTCCCCCTCATTCAACATTTATTCATGTATTGGGCTCTCATACCTGTCACATATCTGCTGGAGTGATGAGACTCAACAGTAAGCAAGACAGTCTCTTATCCTCCAGGGATCACCCCCTGGCTTTTTAAATTTTTAATTGACATGGATGTCCTGAAATGATACATCAAGATTCCTTTTAATCAAGACAAGACAAGACACATATCTACAAAACTAAATAAAATTTAAATTAAAGGTCGAGATAACAGCAAGCTGTGAGAAATAGTCAACAAGATAAGAAAATAATGTTTTGAAAGTTCAGAAATATCAGTTAGAACTGGGGTAGTTTTGAGAAAACTCTACAAGGAGCTATAACTTAAATAGATGGAGAGCAAGGGCATTTCAGGGAGAAATGGACATGCAATCATCTAGGTAGAGCCGTGTATACAGTGTTCAGAGGATAGGGAATGATTCGACATCACTAAATAAAGGGTTCATATAGGTAAACTGTAGAAATAAATCAGAATTGTATACATTCTACTATCCATGGGTTTGATGAAAGAATTTTAAATTTTCTAGTAAACATTGAGTGTTAATCTACAACTATTAAAATAAAAAGAATTTATCTGTATATCTTGCAAAATCAACTTGCTCATTCCTCATGGAATATGGACCACATCTGGGAATTAATGTTTTAAATATAGCAGTAACCCCTTATCCACAGTTTTGTTTTCCCTGGTTTCAGTTACACATGGTCAGCTGTAGTCCAAAAATATTAAATGGAAAATTCTCAAAATAAACAATTCCTAAGTTTTAAATTGTGCATCATTCTGAGTCGCATGATGAAAACTCATGCTGTCCCACTTGTCCTGTGGGAGACATGAATTATCCCATTGTCCAGCATGTCTATGTTGTATATGCTTGTTAGTCACTTGGTAGCCAGCTGGGTTATCAGATCAACTGTTTTCCTATTGCAATGCTTGTGTTCAAGTAGCCCTTATTTTATTTAATAACGGTCCCAAAGCACAAGAATAGTGATGGTGGTCAAATATGCCAAAAAAAATCTGTAAAATGCTTGTTATGTGTCATCAGAAGGTCAATAGTAGCCTCACGCTATGTCACAATGTCTCCATCATTCATCAGCATGTATATTACGGTTCTCCCTTGCCATTTTGTGAGCTCTGTTAAAAAGGGCTTGCCTCGTTTCAGCATCTGTCATAGCTTTATACATAACTTTTCAACAAATTGCTGTTATGATGCTGGCCTTCTATAATTGTCCAATATTGTTCATATTAATGGAAATACTGAACTGCTAGGAAAGTGTATTTTATTAAGAGTTCAACAGCCAGTGTGTTTTAGACTGGGGTGGACTCGTTGGTTGGCTCGTCAATTCCTCAGTTAGAGTTGGATGGACCCTTGAACAGTGTCAACAATAGTGCTGCACTCTTGAGGCAATCCAGTTATGTAATACTGGCTGATAGTTTTGTTGCACAACATCCTTTCTCAATGTAATGAAATGTATTTTGTGCAATTGTATAATGTATTCATGAGAAAATATAAATAGTTGGTAGCAGGCAGAGCTTCAACCTAAAAGTTTTTCCAGTGATATAAAATAGAAGAACTTGAGTTTGGTTCTCAAAGAGTACTAAACTGCAGCTATGATTATATCATATTTTCCAAAATGCATGGCAATTTTTGCCCTCTTTGTCGTAAGTGTTGGTGCGCTGGACACTTTTATTGCTGCAGTGTATGAGCATGCTGTTATATTACCAAACAGAACAGAAACACCTATTCCAAGAAAAGAAGCTTTGTTGCTGATGAACAAAAACATAGATGTTTTGGAGAAAGCAGTTAAACTGGCAGCCAGGAAAGTAATGCCCTTTTTATACTAACTGGGATATTGTAAAGGATATTTGAAACGTGATGAGTATGAGTGTCTGTGATTTATGAGAAACTGTTATGTCCTCACTTGTTTTGAGTAGGGTGCACATATCATTGTGACTCCAGAAGATGGAATTTATGGCTGGGTCTTCACAAGGGAGACCATTTACCCCTATTTGGAGGATATCCCACACCCGGAAGTGAACTGGATTCCATGTAAAGACCCTCAGAGGTAATGTCATTACTCTTAGGTGTTTGAAGAAAAATTCATGATATTATGAAATACCAATAACGAACTCAGTAAGCTTGTCTAGTATTCTTGCTGACAAATAATCTATGGCATTGGTCTTAAACTCCTCTAATGCATCACAGTATGTGCCAAGTGGCACATGTTTCCTGCTTGTTAAATGACTTGAGATGAGGAAGATCAGTTGGTTATTTATTGTAGGTTTTTTTAAAAATGAGTACTATTAATGTGTATACATGGTTTTTATAATAGATGTGCTTAAATGGGTTTCAACAAAGTGAGAAAGTTGTAATATCTAGGATGTATGTTCCCTAGTTGGGTAAGTTCCCTAGTTAAGTAAGTTGGTTCACTCACCAACACCTGCTTCCTTTGTAGGAATTGTAAAAAGATGAATGGGCTATGTTTCCAAAGAGCTTTGACATCACTGTCATTTGCACTGTAATCAGTATGGTGAATGGGAACGGCATAGGACCTGGAAAAGGAAGATTTTTTTTTTTTTTTCTGATACCACGTTCTACCACCTCTTACCTGAGTGACATGAGACAGACAACCTAAACATTAGGTGTCTCTATTTCTTTATCTGTAAAACAGGAATAATAAAATTTCCTCTCCTAAAAAGACAAATTTCCCTTACAGAGCAGACAAGAGTGTCAAGCGAAGAAATATACATAGAATCTGTACGCTATTGTGTCCTTTCCAATGTTAACTGTCACAATTTCTTTTTTTAACAGAAGAAACTGGATCTGAACTTCTTTGTTTTCTTGTCCTTTGAGAAATTTTGTAATTATTTATAGCTGTAATTTAGGCATAACTTAAAAAATATTTTGTATAAAGCACACATAAGAAAGATTTGGAAATAGATTATTATAGGTATATTTACTTTTAAAATAGTTCTCATAATTTCTTTAAATAGTAAAATCAATGCATTAAAAAGTAATTTAATCTGCTAATTTTAAATTTACATGCATCTGTTCAGAACTATATCTATAGCACAAAAAGGAACTTAAATAATTTTGACCATTTGAAATCGATTGGAGTGATCCAATGCTACAACATAGGAACTCCACCGTGTGAGTTGTCTTGCCCTGGGCTTTTCACCTTTGTAAAAATTTTCTCTGAATGTCACATGATCTGTGTTTAGAGAAACCATATAACTATGATTCAGTGTCTACTTGATTATGGGTCTTTCCTCATAGCAGGAAGCACTCCTTATTTCAGTCATTAAGAGGATTATACTAATATATACTCTATTTGCCTAAACTGATGAAACTGACTTGCCCAGGGGAAAAATGTCCTGAAGCCTAATTAGTCTCTGGCAGTTAAATTAAGGAGGTAGGTGACTGCTGAAACTAACATTATTGAGTCTTAGAGAGACACTTATTCAAAAGACAAGTTTTCAGCTCTGTGTTATAAAAAGGAGAAATCCAGTATTTAATATAATGGTAATATTGGTAAAGAAATCCAATTACTGTTTCTTTTCCAGTAATATTTATCCCTAAGAGGGATAATAGAAAGGCAATGTGGTCATCCTTCATCTTTAAATACTATCATTTAGAATACTGACATGTCCCATGCTTTCTTGGGCTTTCCTCAGGAGAAAGTAATAGGAAATAAAGTACCCTGATTGCTTAGCCACCCCCCCTCAAAAAAAAAAAGAAAAATTAAACAAATTACATGATAATTTTACTAAAGGTCTTAATGAATATGAATGTTGACAATAGCCCCTGTTTTTCCTGAAGACAAAATAAAAGAAATGGTCTAAAACAATAGTGATAAATCTGTCCTTTGTATTCAAAGATTAGGTCAATATCAATTGCAAAAGGGCTAAGAGATCAAGGAGAGAGCTGGAATAGTCTCTGAAGCAATAGTCACCAGTTTTTTGGGTTGTTTTCTTGTAGTTACAAAATCCTTAAGGGCCATTACTTATTTATTGAGCACCTATTTGGTCCCAGAAACTGTATACTATGCATTATCTCATTCAATTTATGTAGCAGGTATAATTATTCTCATTTCAAATTGAGAAAATTGGTGATTAGCATGGCTAGAATTTCAACACAGCCATTTCCATTGAGCTATGATAACTGAATGTCTTGGAGTGCCTGGATGCACCATATTATACTTGAAATTTCCAGTGCCTAGTGAATTCACTTCTTTAACAGCGTATTCTGGTTGCTAAAAATTTTTATCTTATTATTTGCTGAAATCTCTCTATAACTTCCTTTGGTCCTTGTACTGCCTCTATGGTATGTTCATGTGCATGACTCATCTTCAAATTAGAGCCTATCAGTACTTAAAGTTGGCTATCATTCTATTTATTTTATCTCCTCAATCTCTTTCTTATTTCCAAGATAAATATTGCTGATGTGAATGCATTTGGCATTACTTTGAAAAGCAATTTCATAGTCTGCATTTATCTCAGGGTTTCTTGCAAGGCTCTCTCAGATTGAAAGAAAACTAATAGGTTGCATTTACAGATGAGGAAACTAAGCCAAATAGTGAAGTGCTTTTTTATGTCTTTCCTTTCCTTTTCTTTCCTTTCCTTCTTTCCTTTTTTCTTTTTTCTTTTCGTTTCTTTTCCTCTTTCTCTTCCCCTCTCTCTCTCCCTTCCCCACCCCTTCCTTTCTCCTCTTCCTCCTCCTCTTCTTCCTCCTCTTTCTTCTCCTTCTCTATTTCTCCTTCTTCAGATATTTCCAGTACCTAATGCTACATTTGTTTGCTATAGAAAATGATCTACATAGGGCCAACTATTTACTGCTTCCTAGTAATACTATGATTTGGGTTATAGAAAAGGTCCTTTCCATTAAAAGAGTCTGCTAAATTTCAAGCCCTCCATTTGCCTTCCTGGGAGTACTTTTTAAGAGAAACTATTACTTTTCTTTTTCCCCTTCCTCTGCCATCTTTTCTGCGCTTCAGTTGCACTGCAATCTGCAGTCTGGCACATTAAAATAGGTTAATTTCATAAAGATGAAGATTATATCGTATGTGAGTTTTAAATTTTTTCTGTTGATTCTTAAACTAGAGGTATTATATTATAGGTAATGGGAAAATAAAGTATCACTTTGGAAGTTCAGAAATGACTAAAATGTAGTAAGTTTAAGGCAATATCCATTGAAATAGGTTTGGCTACACCCCAGTGCAAGAAAGGCTCAGCTGCCTGGCCAAGGACAACTCTATCTACGTCGTGGCAAATATTGGGGACAAGAAGCCATGCAATTCCAGTGATCCTAAGTGTCCCCCTGATGGTCGTTACCAATACAACACTGATGTGGTGTTTGATTCTGAGGGTAGGCTGGTGGCACGTTACCATAAGGTGAAAATTACTTGTATTTTAAAATTGATTTACTTCTTCTTCTGTTTGTTTGTCATATGTATGTATATTTGTCTGTTGAATGTTGATGAGAGAGCTATTATGAACACATTTCTTAATTGTTACGTTTTAGTTGAAAAAGGGATTTAATTTACTTTGGTTTCATATAAGGGTTCTGAGTTCAAAATAGTCATAAAAAAGCATATGGCAGAATATTAAAACGGCTGTGATAATAACTTCACAAAGGTTTTAGTATTCTCTGAGAAAGGAGAAAATCTGTTCCATTCATGATTTAATACCAGAGTTAGTTTTTTGGGTTTTTTTTGGCCCAATTTGTTAACATTTTATGTTAAGCTTGAGTCATTCATTCCATTAGGACTTTTTAAATTGCAATGATAGAAAACCCTAACTGAAATTGGCTTAAAAAATGACAACGAAACTTTCTTGCTTATGTACCCAAAAAATATAAATTATAGAAAGAGTAGATCCAGTTGCAGATGCAGTTTGTCCCTCAGAGGCTCAAAAGATGTCATCCATCTCACCATTTCCTTAGCCCTTTGTTAGTTTTTTCTCAAGCTTACTGTCCTTTTAGAAATTATGTGGCTGCTCAACACAAAACTCACATCTTTATAGCAATAAAATCCAGAGGAAAAGTACGTTTCTCTCTCCTAGAAACTTTGTGAAAACCTCATCATGCCTTGACTCCAATTAGGCTACATGCATTCCTTGAGATGATCACCGATGAATGAAGGATGGGCTACCACATGAGGGAGGGTGGAGGAGGGTGGGATCCTCAGAGAGGGAGAGAGAGGTATAGCCAGAGAGCACACATGTGCACAGTCAGGCCAGATAATAACCTGAGCAAAAACATATGCTGTACTCTAGAGCCTAGGCAAAGTGGAGTTTTGGAGCGATAATCAGGCTGAAAAAAAAAAAAGTTACTAATGATTTACTAATTATCAAAGTTTAGCTATCACATTGTCTAAATTAATTTTAAATCCACTTCATTTCACTTATAAAGACATAGCAGTATCAAAGGGAGGCATGACAAGGTTTATTTTATTAACATGTGTAAAACTTCATATTAGTAGTGCTTTTGGTATTTAAGAAATACAGTGAAATCTGAAATTTGTCGGATTCGAAATTCAAGCTGTGCTTTTAAGACAGAAATATTCACCCTTTAAATATCATTTGTAGATATAATCTCATTGGTTGATTCATTGGTTGTAGAAAAATTGTTTTTTGGTTAATATCACACTAAGAAAACTCATAGACAGTGGTATACTGGTTATGATTTACACATATTCACCTGTAACAGTTTTAAATATGTACATCAACATGCACAGAAAAAAGAATATGTGAGTATTGATCACTTCTATTTGGCAGTTTTCTTACTAATCTTCTCCTGCTTATTGTTAACAGTACAATCTTTTTGCACCTGAAAATCAATTTGATTTCCCCAAGGATTTGGAATTGATGACTTTTGACACTCCTTTTGGGAAGTTTGGTATTTTCACTTGCTTTGACATTTTTTCTCATGACCCGGCCGTGGTGATGGTGGATGAGTTTCAAGTTGACAGTGTCCTCTACCCGACGGCATGGTACAACACACTGCCCCTCCTCTCAGCTGTTCCCTTCCATTCGGCATGGGCCAGAGCCATGAGAGTCAACCTGCTTGCTGCAAATACTCACAACACCAGAATGCATATGACAGGTAACTCACAACAGTCAAGGGACAAGTGTCAGTGACAGTCTTAGGAAGCTTTGACTGATTTTCGAACCACACTTTTCTTTAATGATTATTTTATTAACTCTAATGTCGCAAAATTAATAATAGCATGGGTTTTTATACCAACATTCCTTAAATAGAACATTATCCCTGTGAGTAAAGAAGGATATAAACATTATTATGTCAATTTCACATGAGGGGAAATTAGTTAGAGAGAAGTCAAATCACATAAAAAAACAAAGCCAGTTCTAAAGAATTTTGCAGCCAACATCCATTAGCAATATTGAAATAAATCTTGTTGAGGTGACAAAATCATGTTACATTTAATCAGGTTTTTAGAGTTTATCCTTTATAATATCCATACTCAAGACAATGCAAGCTCCTTTCTTGACTGCTGTGTTATTCATTGATCTAGATAAAGAATCTCAAACACAAATACATTAAATAGGTCAGTGAAAAATAAAATTATCCTTCGTGTTTGGGGAATTTTCTAGTTTGTTGTGAAGTTGGCTTAAAAAAAAAGGTAGCTTAAGTAAAAAAAAAAAACAAAAAAAAGAAGCTATCCAATTCAAATTATAATTTCAGTGCAAGCAATGACCTATGGAGGACTGAGTCAGTCAAATTGGAACTTAAGCCAACGTAACAGCTATCTCCTCACATATCTTGAGAACCCTTATGCTTTTATAATTTTATATTAACTTTCTTATGGGAATGATTCTATTAGTTTGTCATCATGCAAAGTTTGAATCCAAAATTTGTGTTTCTTTGTGTCGCCCATAGGAAGTGGAATCTACACACCTGAAGCAGTCAAGGTGTATTACTATGACATGGAAACAGAGAGTGGCCAGCTGATGCTCTCAGAATTGAAGTCCCATCCTCGACGGGAACCCACATATCCTGCAGCCGTTGACTGGAGTGCTTATACCAAAAGTGTCAAGCCATTCTCATCTGAGCCGTTGGAGTTTCCAGGGATGATTTATTTTGATGAGTTCACCTTCATAGAGCTTAAGAGAAACACAGGAAATTATACGGTTTGCCAAAAAGAACTGTGTTGTCACTTAACTTACAAGATGTCTGAGAAGCGAACAGATGAGATGTATGCCCTAGGTGCTTTTGACGGACTGCACACTGTAGAAGGCCAATATTACTTACAGGTAGAAATGCTTACATATATTAGAATGTCTTTATTAGTTTTTCTTCTAGGTCATCATTGCATTTCTTTAAAAATTGAGCTGGATTCAATTAATTGGAATAATGTTACATTTATCACAGAATTCCCATGCCCCCAACCCCCTTGAACACCTTATTTGTTTAGTCTTAGCAAGAACAGAATTAGTTCTCTTGGCTGCAAGATAAAAACATAAAGCAGATTGATTAGTTCTCAACAAGCCAGGTTTGAGTTTACAAAGCTTCAACTTCCATGCATTCTCAATACTTGGTCAGGTTACTTTAGAGCAGTGTTTTTCAAACTGCCTTTAATTAGAGTTCAGAGCAAGAAGTCCATTTCAGTGCAGTCAAGATGTGTGACTGAGTTAAAAGAGATATTTAATTGAAACAAACATTTATGAAATAATTCAAATTAGAATTAGAAAAGCTATAATTATGGCAATGTACTCTGATTTTTAAAATTTTAGTCTATTTCATTTTGCTTCATTAAAAAAAGAGGTAATTCTGACCCATTAAATTGATTTTAGGATTCACTAATAGGTAATGGCCCGCAATTTGAAAAACTTTGCTTAAGAGGCAACCTAACACATATTCCTCTATTCCTTGAAATTGTGTTTTTCTGAGAAAATATTTCCAAGATGTCTTTTCTTTTCCTACATAGATATGTGTATTACTGAAGTGTCAAACTATTGACCCAAGAACTTGTGGGGAGCCTGTGGGGTCAGCTTTTACCAGCTTTGAAGAATTCTCCCTCAGTGGCACATTTGGAACAAGTTATGTTTTTCCACAGCTCATTCTAAGTGGGAGTCAGCTTGCCCATGAAAGACATTATGAGGTAAGAGGTTTTCAGGATGATAAATTTCTTTGACCAGATAGGGTAGATTGGTATAATGAAGATCTTTGAAATATGAGAGAGTATTGCATATTGTGGTTCACATTATACAAGCAACACTTTAAAGACATGTGGAAGACAATTGTGGCTCTAGATTGTCTTTAAGCCGTGAAGGAAAATTTGGGGTTCATTTTTCTACATAAATGTGATTTTTGAGATATGAGACAACAATGAGGTTATGGAAAATTAAAATAAAAATGATTACAGATGATGGCTGGCAACTAATGTTCTCTTTATTTGTACGGTCCAAGTTAAATACATTAAATAATGCATCTACAGCTTATTTCATGGTGTGTTATTCTGAGAAGTTATAATAATGATAATAATAATTAATACTTTCTATAGTGTTTCTTGAGTTAAACGAACTCTTTATTACATATTATCTTATTTAACCTCTCTATGCAATATATTTATCTGCTGCATTTTTACCCAAGGTCCCTCTGCTACTAGACCTTTAGATCTGAAGCATGCGTCTTCTGACACCAAATCCTGTGCGCTTTTGTCTATTTTATGCTGCTTTTAGAGTGATAATGTCAGAGAAGCCATCTTGGCTGGAAACCGAGCTCTGCACTGGAGTTAATCCTTTGCTTTCTTTGATCAGGTTTCAAGAGATGGACGTCTGAAGAGCAGAAGTGGAGCCCCTTTGCCTGTTTTAGTTATGACGCTGTATGGAAGAGTGTTCGAGAAGGACCCTCCACGCCTAGGGCAGGGACCAGAATAATTACAATGATCCCCTTTTCCGGCACCCTTTCAAGATTAAAATGGCAAAGAGAGTAAGAAAAAAAAAGAGAGCCCTTAGTGTTTGTTTATGAGATGTCATAAATTTGCTGAAGCAATAAACAAAAGAAGATTTAAAAAGCCATAGATGTGTGTATAAATTTTACATTTTACGTATTTTATCTAGCACAAACTCATTTATGGAAGATGCATTCATCTTCAATGCAGATGCCTTTAAGTATGTATAAGTACGTATATGTAATGAAACATATGTTTAAATGGGAGGGGGCCTAGAAAAATCCATTTCTGATAATTGCTCTTATATATGCAAATGTTTTTTCTATCATTTGTAAATACAAAGAACAAATATTGAATATGCAGAGGGTATTTGATCCTAGTCATTTAAGACTAGGAAATTAAAAAACAAGGTCATCTTTTAAGTAATTATGAACAACTTTTTAATTAATTAAAGTTATTCTATTCTCTCTTTATTCTACTGTTATGATTTATTTGTATGGAAATTTTAAAAAAAGATAAATTATCTCCTTCAGACCATACCCTGTTTCTTTCTAAAATTATTCTATCCTAAAATCTACCCTATCATGGTTAAATTCCTTTTATATTGAGGGATTTGTTGTAGGCTGTGATAGACTGAGAACTTCTTTAGAAAGGGCCATCTGTCACCTTTTCCCCAGTTACCTCTTCCCCAGTTACCTCTGGTCTCTAGGCCCTGGCTCCCTGAGTCTTTTTATATGGCTCGTCACTCATTAACTCTGAGAAGAGACACATGTGAAATCAAGGGGGCTCTCTGGATTATGTGAGAACGAATGAGGATAACGCTGAGTTTGGGAACACCCTTTTTCCACCAAAGGTATGACAATTGCTTTCCTAGACTTTTCATAGGTATTTGTTTCCACCTGATTTAATTTGATCCAGTTCCAGGAAGCCGTAGACATTCTGGGCAGCAGAAAATGCCCTTGCTCTACTTCTATCATTCATGGATATTTTTTCTGGGGACTATGACACTAGAATCCTGGGATCGTACCTGTGTCTGGGACTCCCTCCTGATGGCCTCCAGCCTTCTTTCCTCTCTCTCCTAGGCTATTGTCTAGAGGCTGCATTAGTGCCCAGTAGACCCACCTTCTTCATCACCCCTCACCCCATGCATCTTATGTAAGCCAACCTCTGCTGCCTCTGTCTCGTACAGGGAGCTGCAGAACCACTGAATGCAATGGGCATTCTCTGTGCTTACTCACCATAGCTCAACAACAGAGCTGTCCCTCTGAAATTGTTTTGCCCCTTATCTTTTAAAAAAATTTTTTTAGATAAATTTTTATATCATCCCAATAAATCTGGTGTCCCTCTAACACTATACATTGTTATTATAATATTATTGGCTATATTCCTTATGTTATACTTTATATCTCCAAGACTATTTTGAAACTACCAATTGTACTTCTTAATCCCTTCTCCCTTTTCTACTGACTCCCCAAACCCCTCCCATCTGTTAACTCTTGAAATGTTCTCTGTATCTATGAGTTTGTTTCTGTTTCTGTTTGTTTATTTTGTTCTTTAGATTCCACATATACGTGCAATCATATGGCATTTGTCTTCCTCTATTTAACTTACTCCACTCAACACAATACCCTCTAGGAAATAAGTCACTGGAAATGGCTTGGGTGGTCCCACAGTCACTCAGGGAATCACCTTGGTGGAGTCACCTTTGTTATCTAGTTTGATGGTGACTCAGATATAGTGGTGCCCGTGTCTTCAGGCTGGAAGGGGGAGGGCTCAACAAAAGAATTATGGGTACTGACAAACACTTCTTTCTGGGAGATAGCTGCCCCTCCAGCCCTCGCCCTGAAGCCCAACAATTCAGTGCCTTCCTGTATCTCCCTGAAGCCCCTCTAGTAGCTGCTGCACTACTGGAGCTCGGAGGATTCCATCAGCGAGTAAGTCCAGGTGTGGGCCCTTTAGGAGAAACATCTGCGATTTCTGTAGCCTTCTGTTTCACTCAGCTACAACTTCTGCTGATTTTCAAAACCAAAGGTTGTGGTGACTTCTCTCCCCAGCGAAAAACTAGGCTGGAGATCCTAGTGTGGGACTGGGACCCCTCACTCCTCAGGTTGGGGAGGGGGCTCTGAGCCAAGATAACCTTCCTGATTCTTGATTGCCACATGCGGTTGTTGGACCAAGCTGTTTCGCATCTCTGCCTCTCCTACTAGTTTGAGGTGACCTATTATTTTTGTCCCTAGTTATAGGCCTTCTGTTCAGCCAGACCTCAGGCAACTCTGCATGCTGGTTGCTTTGTAGTTCTGTTATAATTTTGGTGCGGTCTCTAGAGGAGGTAAAACAGACTCTATCTTCTATACCGTATTGATAGTTTAGGTTGCTACTGAATCTGTCTCTCCCAGGCTGCAGCTTCTTTTGCTCAAATTAATGCTTTTTATTCTTTTTTTCAATAGAAAATTAAGTTTGGTTTACAATATCTAGACATACACATTTAGTAACAACAAAGAGACATTTTTCTAACTTTTTAACATACACACTATAATTTGGACTCTGATTCTACTTCTTATCACCAATTACAAGTCTGACACTCAACTCTGATGTGTGTGGGAGGTTTTCCTATACCACCAAGCAATTCTCTGATACCAGCTGGGTGTTCTACAATTCAACTCCATTCTGACACTATATACCTAGAGATAGCATCAGCACCCACAGGTTGAAGGCTCAGTCCTACAAGACTGCCCCTCACACCCTAGTTCAGGTGCCAATCACAAGTTCAGGTTGTCACCTGTGCTTCTGTCTGACTGGCTATATAGATCAGGGGTACCAACGACCCCCCTCTTGGGTTTGATTAATTTGCTGGAGCAGCTCACAGAACTCAGAAACATTTTTCTCACTAGATTACCAATTTATTATAAAAAGATATAACTCAGGAACAGCCAGAGTAAGAAATGCATAGGACAAGATATGGGGAAGAGGCATTGAGCTCTCTTGCCTTCTCTGTGCATACCCTCCTCCCGCATGCCTACATATTGATCAACCTAGAAGCTCTCTGAATCCTATCATTACATAGGCATGACTGATTAAGTTATCAGCCATTTGTGATTGAATTCAATCTTCAGCTTCTCTTCCCAACCCTGAGGTTCAGGGTAGACAGAAAGTTGCAACCCTTTAATCATATGGTTGGCCCCATTGGCAACCAGCCCCCATTCTTAGTTGCTTTTCAAAAGTTACCTTATTAACAAATAATTTCTCATCACTTAGGAAATTCCAAGGGTTTAAGGAGCTTTTAAGGAGACCCTGAGATTGTTGTAGCTGCCAGCCCCCGAAAGACATATGGACCACCAGAAATCAGTGAGTTATAGGAAACACACTCTTTATTCAGCCAGCTGGGTCTGCCAGGGATACGCAGACCCCAAATTAAGCAGCCCCGGAATGTAGAGGTACAGAGTTTTTAAGCCCTAAATCCCATTCCTCATTCTGTCTTAAACACAAAGGTCTACCTTTCTCCTATTCACTACCTGTCAACCCACAGGTCAGGTGTGCAAGCAGGAGTACAGAAGCAGAAAGCTTATTGTTAGAATGTTATGTTCCCATGGGCGATCGCCTATGTTCCTCTGGGTGATAGCCTATGTTCCCATGGGCGATAGCCAAGCAGTAATTTTCCAGCCAGCACAAGATCAGCATTTGCTTTGATTTCCCTGGATCAGCTGGATCAATTGAATGAACTAGATCAACTGAGGAGATAATTAATAAGAGAAGTAAACTATCCAAGATTGCACAGCAAGCTAATAATAACAGTACTGGCACAAGAATCATATTTCCTTAAAAGCTACATTTATTAAATCTTTTGAGTATACTATGCTAGGTGCTGGGGACATAGAGAAGTACAAGAGGCAGTACCCACCCTATTTAGTCCTTGTTCTCCTCTCCTTTTCCCCTGCTTCTGGTTTTCTCCATTTGTTCTGTGCGAGACTTGCTGCTGAGTTCTTTTTGGGACCTGATGCCTGCGTTGGTGTCATCACTACTCTGTCAGTACAGTCCAGATTACTGTGGGTCTTGTTCTTACCCTAGGCAGTGGGATGTCACATTTTCCCTCTCAAGAGGCAATTCTCTCCCTCTATGCAAATTTGGTTGGAAGAGTCTGGAGGTATCAATCAAGGCTTCTCTCCATATACAAGTTTTGCTGGAGACAATTGCCCCAGTATCTCTACTCTGTGCGAACAACAGCAAGGCTGCATTCAGCACTCTGTAGAGTGCTTGTCAAAGGTGATGCAGTGGCATTAGTAATCAGGAGACTCAGCTCAGGTGTTGTAGTAGACACTGTTGATGCCTCACCAGTTCCAGTCGTGGATGAAAAAAGGGCTTCTATGGAAAGTAACCTCACAGAGTAATCTGATCGTAAATTACTAACTGGGCAGATCAAAGTGGGTAGTCACACCCCAAGTAGTATAACTGCTCATTGTTTCTGTGACTCTAAATTAACAAATCTTTGATATGCTTCTTTTCAGACCTCTCAGATAAAACCACCCTCAAGACAGAATATAATCTTGTTAACTATTATTATTCAATCCCCGCCTTGCTTTCTCCCACCTTCAGGTAATCCTATTTACTTCACTCTTTAACCTCAAATGCATAAAAGAAACTGCAAAACTGTCATTTTCCTGAGCATTTGAGATCTTGCTTCCTGGCAATTGTCGGTTTTGGCTCAAATAAACTCTTATAAAAATTCTCTACAGGTTTGAATGCTTTTTATGTTGACACCAGTACTGGCTCCAACAGTGGACTTCTGCAGGTAAGGCTGTCTTTCCAATTTTGGGGTAGTGATTTGTCCTATAATTCTCTGATGTATCTAAGAAAAGTTATTGGTTTTCAGTTGTTCAGAAATAGGAAAGTTAGCTTCCAAATTCTTTCTATGTCACACTGGAAACCCAATAATAAAATTTTTAACCTGATAAGAAAAAAAAATTTTTCAACCTCTCTGTAACTCATTCCAGTTTTAACTGTTATTTCAGAGCTTCTTTTTATACATTGTTAAGTAACAATCACATCTCATGTGAAGAGTGTGTATCCCCACCCACATGGGAATGGAAAACCCAAAGGAAGTCAGCAAGTAGAAGGAGCTTGTATTTGCTGTAGACTCATAAAGGCTGGGCAATCATGGCCTCTTGGTTATTTTGGCAGCCACAGAATAAATCTATTATAGTATTGAAGAAAAAGAAAAATCAGACATCCAAAATAAAATCTAAAAATAAAATGGATAATCATAAACACTAGTTCTGTAAATATGAAAAATATTAAACTAATTTACAACTAAAACAAAATTTGCCTACTTATTGCATACCAAAATTTATAAGCTCTTTTTCTATTTTCTATTATTTTTCTCCCTTTCATCCCCCCCTATTTCTCTCTTTAGTTCTTACTCTTGTTCTTTCTGTCATTGTTTATACTGCCCTATTAACCCTATGGTCTATAGCCTCTAAGATGATCCCCAATAATCCTTGCTTCATTCATGCCCTTGTGTAATCCCCTCCCACAAGTGTGAGCTGGACCTACGGACTTGCTTTTAATGACTAGTATACAAGAGAAGTGATGAGGTGTCACTTCTCACATTAGATTATTAAGAGACTGTAGCTTCTGCCTTGAAGCCAGATACCATAAAGCCAGCGGGTAGCTTTTTATCAAGGCTGAAGCAAGGAATTCATGTCTTCTGGCAACAGCCAGTGATGACCTGAGGCCTGCCATCAGAATGTTGGGTGAGCTTGGAGCTTAGAAGTGAATTGTCCCCAGGCAAGCTTTGAGATAACTGTAGCCTGAGTCAGTAGCTTGATTCCAGCCTTGTGAAAGAGACTCTGGGCCAGAGGCACCCAGCTGCTAGATTCCTGACCCACAGAAAATGTGAGATAATAAGTGCTTGCTGTTTTAAACCACTAAATTTTAGATAATTTTCATATAGCAATAGCTAATAAATGATCCTTTTGTATTTCTCTTTGTCATGGCTTCCTTATTTTGAGGAAACTAAAGTAAATAATGTGTAGTGTTTAAATATTCATATGATGCCAGTAATAATTTTAAAATTATAAACCTATTTATTCTTCAAATTATTTACATATACTGCAGTGTGTTGAAGTTCTGTAATATATGATGTTTAAAAATTCATGTTTAAGTCCTAACCACCTATACCTTAGAATATGACCTCATTTGGAAATAGGATAGTTTCAGATCAAATTAGTTAAGATGTAGTCATTCTAGAGTCAGCTGGGCACTAAATCTAATTACTGGTGTTTTTATAAAAGGGAAATTTGGACTCAGGCACGAACATGGGAAGAAGACAGGCATCTGCAGGGAAAGTGTCTGAACAACCCTCTTGTCACAACGATAAGGGGAGATCATTTGTTATATAAAATTTCTTTACATCTATGTCTATGATGTAAACATAACGTTTTCTCAAAGTTACATGTTGTGATTTGTTTTAAAAATACTAACTCCTGGGGACCACGTGATTCATTGTGGTTTCTCTCTATAAATATCAGGACTTGCTCTGTTTTTCAGCAGTCATTGGACTTCAGCATGAGTACTTCTCAGCTGCTGACTTATGTGGCAATTTCAGTTTTCTGTGTCTTCAAAGCCGGCTCCCTGGACACCTTTATTGCAGCTGTATATGAGCATGCAGTGATATTGCCTAATGCCACCTTAACACCAGTGTCCCATAAAGAGGCATTGGTATTAATGAACCAAAATTTGGATCTTTTGGAGAGAGCCATCATATCAGCAGCAAAACAGGTACCACCTCTCTAGAGAGCGTGCTTCTATGTAGAGAAAGAGTGGGGTCTAAGGAGATAGGGTCATTGTCACGGCCAATTACATATGTGTCAAGGTACATCATGACATATATGTCAGGGTAGCCGAGAACTTTTGTTTTACAAGCAAAATCCTACCTCCTTTTCCAAATTATTAGAAAAAGAACACCATTACTTTCCTAATAGTGAGATGAAGTTAGGAAAAGAACAGCTTGGTTGTCACTGAAGGACTGTAGACAGACCTCTGAGGAACTTGCCCTAAATTCAACAACTTTGTTGCTCTTTTCTGCTACAGATGGAGGGAGGAGGATAAATAGGTCAGGGACCAGATGCTATTTTTAGAGTATTTTTGATGTACATTTGTTCTCTTAAGATTGTGTAGGATTTTGAGTTAGTTCATAACATCAAAACAAACTTAAGTTGCAAATTACTTAACAGTATATATTATATACTTCATGCTTCATTCTATTACAGATAAAAAAATATATGCCAATGCATATATAATTAAAATGAATTAAATGTAGGGTTAAGGTTAAGTGTGGTTTGAACAAATATGGTTTAAATAAGATATTTGTAAATCAGATATAGGTGAGGGATATATGAAGTGTGATGAAAGTCAAAGATATATACATAGAAGTTATATTTATCAATACACATTCTTATACATACAAAAATTTAAAAGATTATCAAAAATTCTGAAGCTCTTTTTTCACTTTTAGTCCAACTATTTTCCTAAAAGCTGTAGCAGGATTCAGGGTGACTCTCTCATACAAAGGTGCCCAGGTTAGCTCAGTTTGTACCTGCAGGCCCAGTACCCACAAGGTAACAGTGTCTGAGCCCCTTTCTTCTGAAAAGCAGGAATTTCATTTGCAGGGTATAGAGCAGGGGAGGCTGCAGCAGAGGAGAAAGTGAAGCAGAGAATTTGAGTTATAAATCAATCTTGACACATTCAGGTATAATAATTTACCAAAGTTCAGAGAGGGGTTGATTTGAAGAAGAGCTACATTTATAGTTAACAACTTCAGTGGATAGCAAACTTATGAGTAGCCTGGAAAACTCCTAGTGTTTAGGAAAAAGAAAAGTTCTGAGGAAAGCATGACATTAGGATTAGAAAATGAAAGTGGTTGGGTAAAGAAAATAAATTAAAAATATAAAAAACAAAGGAATAAGATTGAAAGAAAAAAAAAAACCTGACTGGCTGTTCCTCAGCCACTCAGTTTCTCAGGTCTTCTCGCACTCCCCTCTTTAATCATTTGCTTATTTGAGAAATATTTTTAAATAAGGTTCATTTTTAACAGGGTGCACATATTATCGTGACTCCAGAAGATGGTATTTATGGCTGGAACTTCAGCAGGGAAGCTATCTACCCATACTTGGAGGATATCCCAGACCCTCAAGTGAACTGGATCCCTTGTAATCATCCCAACAGGTAAACAAACAAACGAACAAACAAAAAACAAATTATAAAAAAATTAACCATAATCATAAGCTTACTTACGAAAATTTTGTAGACAATCATTGCATAACATTCACTATCAACTCTAAGTTTCAAGATAGTTTTATTATTTCTCATCTCATCTGGATACATTTAATGGAGAAGTAAATATGAATTATAAAATCACAAAAATCAGTACTGGAAGGTAACAGAAAAATCATCAAGTTCAATGAAAACTTCCATTGAGGGACTGACTCTGGAGAGATACTAGTGTAACCTGGTTAGGGTCACAGGATGGTTGGATAGTGGTTAACCAGAACCAAACTCTAGTCTTCTGACTTTTTACTCATGAGCAGAAAATTGTTCCCCTATTGGGTCTATAATTTGAAAACTGTGCGAGTAAATAGTAAAATAGAGTCACATGTCAGTTTAGGATTTAAAATGTTCCTTACTTTCATAAAATAGCTCATGAGGTTAATGTATATGAAACCTTTAGAGCTTAAGCTAATTGTCAACCTAGGAGGTGATATAGCAGCATTGTGTAAGTGGTTTAAATCAAGTCTAGTCTAAAGAGATATGAAGTGTGATGAAAATAGCACTATTACATTTCATATAAGCAAAACACTATATTATACTTTAAGAGAATTGTGTCAGTTAACTCACTGCTTTCCAAATGCACCATGACGAAAATTGTAAGAATTCCTCTTTTGGAATTGTTCTCAAAATTATACAAACTAACTGCTGTAACTGCTTATAGAGGCACCTTGATTGTTTATCTTAATTATCTACTTTATTCATATTTCATTGTATCATAATTATTTCTTATTTAGCAATTTCCCATGCTAGATCTTCAGTTTCTAAAAGGGAAGAACTCTGTTATCACTTCCATTATGAATTGACTTGACTTGATTCTTAATGGCCTGTCCTTAGGACCACATATCCAAGGGCCTCTGGAAAATCCCCACCAGGATGTTCCATTTCAAAGAGTATGATTTTCCCTTTATGTTTTCCATGATTCAAATATATCTCCATTACTGGCCTTCATTTATTTCTTTAATGAAATTTTTGAAAACTTATTATGTCTAGGCACTATTCTGGACAATGGGGTGAACACAGACTCTGTCCTCTGGAGCTTATATTCCAGTGTAGGGAAATAGTCAATTGAAAAAGAAAAAGTTAATATCATCTATCTGTCTTTCCATCTATCTATATCTATCTATCTATCTATCTATCTATCTATCTATCTATCTATCTATCTATCATCTATCTATCATCTATCTATAATCTATGATATGAGATAGAGATAAATGTTATAAAAAAAAAGTAAAGCAGAAAGGTGAATATGGTGGCAAGGGTGGGCTTAAGTTTTGAGGTCATCAGAAGGCTTTTTGGTGACATCTAGGCAAAGACTTAAAGGAAGTGAGGGAGTAGGTCATATGGGTATCTGAGAAAGGAACATTTCAGGCCAAGGGAATTCTACATACTAAGATCCTGAGGTCAGAGTGTATGTCTGGCATATTAGAAACAGCAAGAAGGTTAGTGTGGTTGTGTTGTGACCGGAACAATCAGGCTCAACCTGAGTGCTTTGATTATAGAGTCAGTTTATTAGCCGGCGGCTGTCCTTCCAAAGGAGCAGCCCTGAAACGCAAGGGTACAAGGGTTTTAAGCCCTAAATCCCATTCCTCATTCTGTCTTAAACACAAAGGTCCATCTTTCTCCTATTCACTACCTGTCAACCCACTGGTCAGGTGTGCAAGCGGGGAGTACAGAAGCAGAAAGCCAGTTGTTAGAATGTTATGTTCCTATGGGTTCTTGCCTTTGTTCCA